AAAGAACGTCCCATATTTTGGGGTTTTTTCATTATATAAAAGTGTACCAGAAATTAATTGTTTAAAAAATCCGTAACTTTTTTGTTTATTGATGGATTTTAAAAATTCAAAAAGTTCTATGCTCAGTGAAGATAAAGCTACAAAATGCACCTATTTGCAAACATTTTCTGGCAAAAAAAGGATTTTCGTGGTCATTGCTAATATGTGTTCTAGACTATTCTTTTGTGTTTGTGAGACCCTGATAGCCCTTCAGCCCCCCCCCCCCAACACACACAATCACAACCCACCTCATCCCCACCCTTTAAAAAAACAACTTCATAAAGCATGTTGAAAAGCAACCCAAAAAGAAAAGTAAGCATAAGCTGTCCCGGGGCACTAGCAGTAAACCTGAGGGAGGGAAGGGAGTTTTAGCTGATTTTAGTAGAGGAATAACGGTAGTGGAAAGCAGTCAAACTGGCAATCACACTTTTTTTTTACCCTGTTGCCTGCCACAGGTGGAGGAGGCCAAGTACGAGACGGCTGTGTCCCTGGCCAAAAAACTGCTCCACCGCGTGACCTTCACCCCGCAGAGGACCAAGGTCGTGGCCCAGAAAAGGCTCAGCGACAGCTCCTCGGCCAAACGCAGCGGCGCCAAGGTCATGAAGACCGTGCTGAGGCAGCTGTGCTTCAATAGTGGTGTGTAGTGTGTTGTGTGTACTGTGTATTGTGTAAAGTTGAGTGTGTGTTGTGTATTGTGCGGCATGTAGTAGTGTGTAAGATGGTATGTGTAGCGTACTTTAGTAAGTAAGTTACTCAGTGTTTAAGGCCATTGGCCCACCTCACATCACATAAAACTCTCATTTAGCATAGCTTAGCGTAGTGTTGTGTAGTGCAATGTGTAGTGCAGTGTTCATCATCATCATCCAGTGCCTGATCTGTGACAGACATCGGCGATCATGGTTTTCCATTCATTCCTTTGCTTGGATGCTCTCAAAAAAGCTACGTTTCCCTGATCTTTCCCTGTTACCCATTTGTTTAGGTTCCCTAAGTAGGTTGCTCTGGGCCTACCCCTGCCTCGCCTGCCCTCAATTTTGCCAGTGAGAGCTAGATGTTCAAAACCCTTATGTCTATTCAGGTGCAATGTTGCACTAATGAATTCCAGTGTCTGTCTCATTTTACTGTTCAAGAAATGCAAAATCTTTACCGCTGTGAATGTTTACACGTTCCCTTTTCAGAGTACCATCTTTCAAGTTATAGTCTGTGGTTTTGCACTTTAAAAAATACGCATGGTCTTTACAACTGTGGATGTTTTCATGTTCCCATTTCAGAGTCCAACCTGCGAGTGATGTCTATGGTCAAGCAGCAGACGTTCCTTTCGAAGCTGGTCAAAACCTTGGACAAGGACCCAGACTGTGTGAGTTTTCCCGGCACATTTTGTACTCAAACGTTCTAAAAAAGGCGTCGATAATGCTAAGTGTCTTTAGGCCATTCCCAAAGGGGGGACATTAACATGTTCTTATGCGAAGTAGAATTGTAAATGGGCTGATTCATCAATGTCATGCTCATAACTGTTCCTGATCTACAACAGGGAACTGCTGCTTTTCCTTCCCTAATTCTTACCATCGTCATTTTCCTTCTACTTCTTTTGTATGTTTGTCACACTCTCTTGACCCGCTATTTCTGGGGTGCCTTGATAGTTGAAGCAGACTTTATGCTGTTGAAGCTAGAGAGGTGAGCAGAGTAAGTCTGATTCCCTGTAGGGACTTCTCTGTTGACATCCACCCCATGGCGCTCATATGACCTTATGCAGTTGCGAATGCCGTAAATCGTCTACTAAAACAAAAACAAACAAATAATGTTAAGTGACCATAGCCACCCACTGACATCAGAATTTCAAGTGTTGACCCGTAGTAAACGATACATTTCCAAAAAAGCAAGGACAGACAGATATAGAAATTCATTTGTACCTACTGCAGTGAGGTTGCTGAACACACAGTGCTACACATGAAACAAAAAGAGAGAGAAAAAGAAAGTGAATGTTTTATGGAACGAGTTGTTTGTCTCGTAAAACATGTAGTTACTAATGTCCCATCTTGTTGTGTGTATACGTGAGTGCACCTAACCTTTGTAACAGAAAGAGAGAGAAAGGGAGGATGCGGGAGGGAGAGAGAGAGAGAGAGAGAGAGAGATGAGCCTATGTCTCGTAAAATGTTCAAAATAAATTTTTCATTCATGACCTTTTCTGTTCGACAACAGTCGGATTTTTTCAAACACGGAGCCCGACTGATTTAACGTGTCTCTGTTTGTGTGTGTACATCACCAGATTTTGTCAGGCCTAAACAAGCTCAAGTCTGTGCTGTATCTGTGTGTGTGTGTGTGTCTGTCACCAAATTTTGTCAGACCCAAACAAGCTCATGTCAATGGGGCCCCAGCAGAGTGGGTTTATTGCCCTCCCCTCCCCCCCCCCCCACCCCCTTCCCTCAGAGATAAAGAGTTCATGCATCTTTTTTCGTGTGTGTCGCCAGATTCTGTCGGACCTAAACAAGCTCAAGTCCGTGCTGACCTCCCCGTCCAACATTCGCGTCCACCTGGCGTGCGACGTGAAGAAACTGGCGGCCAGAGCGCCCCCGGCCGACGTCTGGAAGGATTTTGTGCCGGGCGTCACCGAGACCATGCCCAACCACAAGTAAGGAGGGGACTTTTTGTTACTATAATTGCCTCTATGTAGCATTCTGAAAGAGTTTAATTCCCCCCCCCCCACTCCTCACCGCTAACTCTGTGACACTGTGAAGACAGAATATGTCTGTTTTTTGTTTTTGGTTGGGGTTTTTTTGCTGGTCACCGGTAACCGCTTTGTTTCGGAGGTAAAACAAGCAAGAAAATCACCGCAAAAAGATTGGTGACTTTTATTGGTTTTGAGACCCTGTAAATTGAATATTTACGTATTTTTTGTGCCTTTAATCAAAGTTTTTTTTTTCCCCTGCAGAGAAATGTGTTTTTAAAATGGACATAAAAGCTGTTGAGCTGAAAAGAACCCTCAAAATTTTATATAAATCGCCAAATTCGCAGAAAAATGCTGGTATTGTGGATTTCATTATTTTGTCAAGCGCCTGATTTCACCACGATGCCTCACATATTTATGGTCTCTCCCCACAGTCAGGAGACAGTGACCTCGACCTTCCGTCTGCTTGCAGCCGGTTTAGGAAGTGAAGAGCAGCCACTGTGCTAAAAACTATAACAACAATAAAAATAACAGCAACAATAATGACAACAACAAAAACCACCACCGTAACTTCAACCGTGACAACAACGATAATGTGGTCTCTCCCACAGTCAGGAACAACAACGACAATAATGACAACAACAACCACAACAACCATAACCACAACCGTGACAACAACAATTATGGGAACAACAAAGACAATAATGGTAACAACAAATAATGACAACAACAACAACATCAACCATAACCACAACCATGACATCAACAACAATATCTCTCCCCACAGCCAGGAGACAGTGACAATAATGACAACAACAACAACAAATAATGACAACAACAACAACAACCATAACCACAACCGTGACAACAACAACAACAATATCTCTCTCCACAGCCTGGAAACGGTGACCTCGACCTTCCGTCTTCTGCGGCCGGTGGAGGAAGTGAAGAGCCGGCACTGCATCGTGGGAATGAAGGAGGTGGAGTCTTCCTACATGATCCAGGCGGTGCCGTGCGTCTCCGACTTCTCGCACCCCGACCTCCCGGCCCTGATGGTGCTGCTGCAGTACTTCACGCAGTGTGAGGGACCCATGTGGAGGCGGATCAGGGGACTGGGGCTCAGTTACAACTACAGGTAGGTAGGGGGGACACACTTGTAGGCAGAGATCAGGGTGGGTGGTTGGCGGGTGCTCTGGTGTGGTTTGCTCCTTCTTTCTTATCAAACATCTATTGTCCTTATCTCCCCTTCTTCTATTTTATGTTTGCTACTCTCTTGTAACACTTCTAATTTCTAATCTTCTGGCGCTCATATGACCTTATGCAGTTGCGAGCGCCGTAAAACCCTCTACTAAAACTAAGAGATCAGGGGTTATGTCGAGCTGTAGGTAGGAAACGCGCACAGAGGTCATGTTCAGTTGTGTGTAGGGAATACAGGCCCACAGAGGTCAGAGGTTATGTTCTATTGTTAGAGAACACGTGCAGAATCCTCCCTAAAAATAAGAGTTTTCCTCAGAGTTTTTCCCTGAAAAATAATTTCAGAATGCTTCCTTAAAAGTAGGAGTTTTCCTACAATTATTTTTTTGGATAAAAGTTGGATCACTGATCAGACTGTAGATATTTAGCTCATGTTAAAAGTTTAGCGCCAGAAATGAAAAAAAAGGCGTTTTGTCAAGTCAGTACAGACTAGTACTTAGGTCATCTGTCCGTCTGTCTGTGTGTGTGTCCATCTTAGGTCATCTGTCCATCTGTCTGTGTGTGTGTCCATCTTAGGTCATCTGTCCGTCTGTCTGTGTGTCTGTGTGTGTGTCCACCTTAATTCATCTGTCCGTCTGTCTGTGTGTGTGTCCACCTTTGGTCATCTGTCCGTCTGTCTGTGTGTGTGTCCACCTTAGGTCATCTGTCCGTCTGTCTGTCTGTGTGTCCACCTTAGGTCATCTGTCCGTCTGTCTGTGTGTGTGTCCACCTTAGGTCATCCGTCCGTCTGTCTGTCTGTGTGTCCACAGCATGGTGGTTGATCCTGAGTCTGGACTTCTCTTCTTCGGACTGACCAAAGCCACCTACATCCAGGACCCGTACAAAGAGGCCAAGAACATTGTGGTGAGTGAAGGAGGAGGGAGGGAGGGAG